CTTGAATCATAGTCGGGAGTCCGAGTCAGTAGTCGAGTCAGAGTCGGGAGTCTGTAGTCTGATACGGGTTTTAATGTGATTGGTTGAATCACAGTCGGGAGTCCGAGTCAGTAGTCTAGTCAGAGTCGGGAGTCGTAGTCTGATACGGGCTTGACTCGACTACTGACTCGGACTCCCGACTACGATTGAACCAATCACAGCGAAGCACCGGCCGACCCTGACTGCCGACTCGGGAATAGGCGCCACTCTAATTGCTTGAATCATAGTCGGGAGTCCGAGTCAGTAGTCGAGTCAGAGTCGGTATAGTCTCTGTAGTCTGATACGGGCTTTAGGCGCGATCCGATCTCGGAGCGCGCGCGTGCGCGCGCGGCCGCGTGAATAAGGGACGGCAAAAGGCGGCGGAACAGAAAGCGGCAGCGCGTCCCATTTAATCGTCGCCTCTCGATAATGAATGCTGCCTATTATCGTCGCGACGCCCGTCGTCGCATTGTACGTCGCTCCCGCGCGCGCGCGCACGCTCGAGCGTCGCGATACACGTCCGGGACGTGTGCACGTACCGGCGCGCGCGCGCGCGCACACATGCACGCGCGGCCACAATGAGCCGCGTGAATCGGGGGAGTTGCGGACGCCTCGCGCTGGATTTTTCAATAACGGAAGCACGAGGGGGTGGCACGCATTTTCACATCCCTGTCACGTCCGTTGTATTCATTAAACCGTCTGCTGCACATGCCTACATTGACGGACATTATAAAGTTATATCTCTCCGCGCTTTCTCTCTCTCTCTCTCTCTCTCTCTCCCTTCTCCGAATATCTCACGACACGCGCGCGCGCGCGCACGCACACGCAAGCACTTTCGCTCCCTCTCTCTCTCTTTCTCCTTTTCTCTATTGTGCGATCGAACGTGAAACAGGTTTAAATTTCAATACGGGAGAGAGAGGCACGCTAAATGCATCAACTGCCTCCAGTTGTTACAAACTACTGTTACAATCGTGTATACGCGCCTCTAAATGGCGCGTTAGGACTGTACCGTTGAATTCGATGACAGTATCAGCGTTAAAGTCGCGGGTTTTAAGGAAACCCCCGCTCGGCAGCGGCTCTCCGCGTTGGAGATCCTGCAATCTGCAGAGACTGGCCATAAGAGTTCGGCAAATTCTTACGATCGTAGAAGAGCGAGATAGCCTATGTTTCTCTCTCACTCGCAGGAACTTGACGAGCCCTTACGACCAGTCTCTGATTACGGGGTGTCCACTCCGCGTTTTCGCCCCGCGACCTCCAGCCGCGTCCGCGGGAGCCTCGCGGGGAAACGGAACTTCGCCCTCTTCCGCGCAACGCAATCGCGTTGAAGGAATCCTTTGAAATTATTCGTCCAATTAACTCTTTCCGACCGTCTAATATTGTCTAATGTTCACGCACGAGACCATTGACGGATCGATCGTCACTTATAAAAATAACGCGGGTATTAATACTCGCTGCTAATGTTGCTCAAATGCGGAAAATGTGTCAGGTGTGCGAAAGTCTTAATCTTTTTCTAATTTTACGCGTTGTTTGTATGCAAGTGCTATGAGTCGATCTTCAAAATATATTTTCCCTCGTTATCCGCAACCCTCCGCCACCTTTTGCGGCAACATTCATATAATATAGAGAGTTCGATACGGGGGATAAACCGCGGACCAAAATCATGTACACCAATGTCTAGAGGAAAGTTCCCTATTATGAGATAGGATTCTAATATGGGATAGCGGGGTTTCTGTTAAATTAATAGACATCATCGGTTGATTCCACCATGAATTTATTGCCCCTGGAGTGAAATCTGTTTAGCAGAATATTGATTGTTAGATCGTGTAATCGTTGCGAGAAAACATTTGTCATTGAATTTGGACGTTGAAAACCTGCTATCTCATATTAGAATCCTATCTCATAGAGGAGCGGGGTCTCCGTTAAATTAATTGGCATCATCTGTTGGTTCCACCATGAATTTATTGCCCTTGGAGTAAAATCTGTTTAGCAGAATATTGATTGTTAGATCGTGTAATCGTTGCGAGAAAAGATTTGTCATTGAATTGTGGACGTTGAAAACCCGCTATCTCGTATTAGAATCCTATCTCATAAAGGAGCGGTGTTTCTGCTAAATTAATAGGCACCATCTGTTGGTTCTACCATGAATTTATAGCCCTTGGGGCGAAATCTGTTTAGTGGAAAATTCATTGTTAGATCGTGTGATCGTTGCGGAAGAAAGATTTAACTTGGGTGTTGAAAACCTGCTATCTCATATTAGAAACCTATCTCATAATAAAGGACTTTCCTCTGCTAATGCCCAGTGGGCATTACTTTATCTTATTTTATCTTTATGATGCCCCAGCAAGGCCCGATGCCCAAACTAATGCTCAAAAAATGTCCAGTAATGCCGCAAATCTGTACAACTCAGCGGTTTACCCCTCGTTTCGATACCAATCTTACAATTACACGAGGAGGCAGGAAATTATTTGAATTTAAAATAATTATACGAGAACGCTCTGAAAAGACTAAAGCCCGTATATTCTGAGTCTTCTTCTATCGATAAAAGTCCCTACAAAAGATCTTCCCAGCCAATAAGAATCCTTCGAAACCAATATTTTAGTAGCACTGTTATCCACGAAAGAGGATTCAGAATGTGAACCTTTGCATACCGATGATAAATCGCGATCTTCTTGCTGCCGAAGATCGTCGCTTTTTCGAAAATTCTCTTAGGGCAGAGCGGCCGTTTTGTACTTTCAAGACAACGTTTTTCTGAGTCTTTATTTCATTTAACGCACAATAAATGTCTTGTGCCTCGAGTATCAAATATGTATACGAAGACAACGCATGCAAAGTATAAACGTATACACGCAAGAAAGTATAACAATTTTACTGTTATATTAATAACTGGGTGGCTATTTTATAAGCATTGTCTCGAAATTACAAGCCAGCCATTCCAAGGCCCTTAAACAGCTCAGGGCAGCTCTGAAATTATATAATAACGTGGGCAAGTCGTCTGTTTTTTTTACGTGCTTTATTTTGTGGACGGAGCACAAAGCATCGTCTCTCGCCAATGCGACATTTGGTCTTAACGTAACACACATTTTCGCTCTTAACACATCGATAGAGTCTTATCCTGCAGTCCGATCGCTTCGACAAACATCAGTACCAGAGCGGTAGCAACGAAGGGGGTAACTTATCAACTACTTTTGATTCGTTTGCGTCAAGGTATGTACACTACGCTGCTCTCTGTGACTCGCAGGCCTAACGTAAAAATGCCATGTGCCTTAATCGATTTGATAAACATACGTTTGGATCCCTTGCTCGAAGTACGCACAAGTGTACTTCGGCGACTAAAGTGAAAATGTAAATGGAATGCGGGAGGGGGAGGGGGAAGAAAAACGGAACGATTTTAAACGCGACGGAGCGACATTGCGCGAAATACAACGTTTAATCGAGTTGTAACAGACGGGGAGATGAAACGTATAAATCTCGCGCGCTCTCCCGCTGCCTTTTGTAACGCATCGCTCAACAATATCGTCCCCGCTCTTCAAGTCTTGTCAATTTTCCAAGCGATATTTGTATGCAACGAAACGGCTGTTTAGAAAGTCGAGCAAGGGGGAATTAAATATGCATGTAATTAGGGTAAATATAATATTTTATACTCTTCTAAAATCTTTAAAGAGAAGCGCGTTTGAACGCCTGAAACGAGCACGCTGTGTTCATTGGACACGAATATCCCCGCGGGATACGACTCAGATTCAATTACATTACATCCATTATTATTAGATATGTGTGTACAACGCGCGCGCGCATGTGTGTGTGTGTGTGGTGTGTATGTGTGTGTGTCATATCGTAACGTATAAATGTTACAAGCGAATATTTAGGAATGTACTTAACTTATTGTCCGATCTTTAATATGGAGAGTACAAATCGAGATTTCTAGTACGCGTGGTGTGGTAATACGTGTTATAATACTTCGATTGCACGTTTCAACGGTGTACATTTATGTAACAAAATATCTCGATTCATTTCAACAACTGCATTGAACACGAAAATCGATAACTTTTGCATTCTCGCTACGCTACGTATACGCGCGCTTCAAGCTCCATAAAAATACACGGTACGCGATGTAACTCTTTAACAAGGATGCGGAGGCATGTATACATATATATATACATATATATGTGTATATATGTCGCGCTAAACGTTCCTAATGCTACTGCCAAGAAACTGAGTTTAAATTTCTATTTAATTTTTCGTCTAAATGCGATCTTCGTGATAAGTGCTAAAGTAATTAAAATATTCCTTAGCTCTTAACTGTGTCTCGCCGCGAGAATAATAATAGAATTACCACGGAATCGGAGAAGTAACATATAAATAAAATAAATAGGATGTATTTCAGTCATCGGCCAAATCGTCGGCCCAACACAAAAGCTTTCGAGATACTTTTGTTAAAAAGATCTAGAGCTATTAAACTGTAGATTAAGTTTATTGTATGAAACGGAATGTAAGATGTCGATATAATAGTTTTTATAAGCGATGGCGGGATGAGACGTGAAAGCGTGTAATGGATTCAGGATCAAATATATTAAAATTCGTGGCTCAATTCAAATAAACTCAAATGGATGTAGCACGCTTTGTATTCGAGCCGCGCTACTTTCTACTTTGCTTATAATCGCCTGTTCAACGACAGGCACTGAAAAATTCATGAGAGTGATAAACTCGCGAAAAGGATAGTCTCTTAAAATTTCATTAAGAGCAAGCATCAGTTAAGAGTTAAAGATAACCGTATTGTTGTACTTATTCTAAAAATAATACTAGTACAATACTTCCTATTCTGGGTCTAATTGGAGAAACAAAGATCGGCAGTACAGACGTAGTCTTTGATACGTTAGACTTTCTTTTTTAACGAGACCTCAAGCCTAACAACTGATTCTGTGAACTTCGAATTTAACAATTTGTAGATGGTGTCGACGTCCTACTCACGAATGCGTATGTATACACGGAGAGAGATTGTCCCTTAAAATTTACCCTGAAAATCATGTAATCGTCGGACAACGTGGCGTTTTGAAGAATTTGATAAGAATTTCAAAAAACTGTCATAACATTCTTCGAAATGCCGCGTTGTCCACGAAATTACAGGATTTTCAGGATAAATTTTAAGAGAAAATCATGAGCGAAAATTCTCCCCGTGCGCAACTCATATTTGACAAACACATATCAATATAGTGCTTTAATACTATCCTTTTAGTTGCTAATTATAATTCCTAATTGAACTTGACCGACACTGACGCAGGGGCCCTGGCCGTCAAAGTTCATCAAAGAATACACGTTTACTACCGATTCGTCAATCCTCCTCTCAGATGCGGTCTGTATACCTCTTAACGTTTCAACTAAAGAATACCCTTATTGTTAATAGATAATAATTTGCTCGCTAACAATGGTTGAAATTTGCAGACACCTATTATTGTATATCCATATCCGGAGAAAGATCCGGAATTTCACTGACGATATATTATATAATACAGAACATGATATATTTAATTAACAATGCATCACATCTCGTAATGAGCGAGTGTGTATAAATAACTCATGTTTCAAACTTCATGCGAACGCCATATTTTATCTAATTTATCTGTAATCACTTCACTCAACCGTAACACAATTTTGCATTGTTGTATAAATAGAATTTCCAAAAAACAAAAAATTTTTCAACAAACTACAAAATTACATTTTTCGGAATTTTTGGTAAGATATAAAAAATTGTGTTACCTCTCTCGCTCATAACGTTTAAATATCCTGTCATTTCTTCACTCAATCAACAGATCGTAATGCCACGAAATTTTCAAATTACATTCGCTTTAAACAAAATATATGTGAGATAGACGGCGTGTTTCAAACACACCTGATTGCCATTGTCATTCAGTCGATTTGACAGAATTATGTAAATACTTGAAAAACACATGCGCAAATATATGTATTTTGTTTAAAGCCAAAAGTTCTAGGCTAAAAAAATGTTGGACTCCTTAATTTACACTATGCATCATTAAAATAATAAATTTTATAAATTGGAAATATGTCTGCACGCCAAAAATATCCATATATACCTTTTTCTGTTTTCTTTTTCAATTTTTTAAGTTTCAACTGACATGGGAATTGCATTTAATGAAAATGTAGAATGGTAAAATATAATTGTGTATGGGAATGTAGACTTACGAAGAAGCACGCGTATTGGCTTAAAGAATATTATCCCAATCCGTGATCTTCGAAGAATCCCTGGGGGGTCTCCTCCTGCAACATACGCACAAGAGAACAAGTTTATCAACACCGTATTCGAAATACCGTACAATATAATATGAACAGGGATCAATTACTTTGACGCTGCACTTTATAAAAAAACACATTACGAAAAATAGAATGAAGATATATATATAAGCGTACACGTACCTACTTCACAATAAAATTTCCTTCTTGATGCAGCTTCAAATGGTGAACTGAACCCTTTTCATATAACCGAGCAACTTTTACTTGTTTGGCTACACAAAGCGCATGTTCATGTATTGCCTCGATTGATATCTTAAGCGCCAATAAGAATTGCTTGTTTTTACATGCAACGTGTCGAATTGTGGAGATCCCATCCTCCAGATGGGATCAGAGTGAATGCGATTCGGCTCAATATGCTCACACCGCGCGACAGCTTATAAATAGAGAATATCCAGCTAACATGTTATTTCGTTGCCTCCGCGAGTCTCTTATATTATTTACTAACAAAGCTAATTTTCAACAAAGGCCTGAGAATTTTTACCTGGGACTAACGTAAGCGATCGATATAGCGTAGACTAATAAGGTGCGCGTTGATTTTCAATTACAATATAAAGATTTCGTATGATATATTTATTACTAGTACACGTAATGTATGACATTAAAAATTGACGCTTATATTGATGCTTATATAATATATGCGTATGCACATGTATGATACATAAAGAGTATAAAGAGATATACAAATTTCCAATTATTTACATAATTAAAGTAGGTTTCTTTTCTTCCGTTTAAAATACATAGATGCGTAAAAAGTATACGTTCTATGCAATAGTCACATTAATACTGACGCTTTTCAGTAGTACATATACAATGCTTTCATAAAAATAACTTACAAATACAGATGATTTTTATTGCCATAGTTGAAGATTAAGATACGTAGGTAACTATATATATATCACTTATTCGTTAATACGTATGTTAAAAGTTATAATTGAGATTTGAGAACCGTAGTTCAGCCTTTGGTTAGTAACATAACAATTTGTTCTATATGTGCACGAGAGTATCTTTCTCGACATATAAAAATATATTAACATACACAGAGAGTGCTTTAGGCATCGTATACTTTCTGTCAACTTATTGCCTTTGGTTACTAAGAACCAACATTAAGAGTATATTTTTACATCTATTCCGTTTATACCAAATTCGAAGCAACAAAGTTTTTGACCAATTTTTCGTAGATATTTTTCAAGTTTTTGTATATGAGAAAATTTAATATATTTAATGTATAAAATTTTTTTTATTGCCACGATATACTCTATTCAAAATTTAAACAAATTTCTTTTTAAATATTTTTATCCCTTTCTCGTCTGTACCAAGTTTTCGTCGCGGACGAAAGAAAATACACGACGCCTCAAACGTCTCGTATATGACTAGTAAAGTTGACTTGAAAATTCATGTATTTATGTAGTAGAGTCGTAATGGCATCATGCAGCGGGTAAGCCTTTTCTTGTTTTTCGGTCGATCGTGTGGGTCGATACTCTGTCCATGAAGCTCATGCAAACAATAGGGTACCTATAAAAGCCCTACCTCCCGCAGAGCACCTTCCACAGCTTCGTCCTTCCACAACAAACAAAGAAAAACTAACTAGTCTTCGCTAAACTTCTACTTTGTCCCTATCTACCATGGGTTTATACACATGATAATTATATCGTGTGATATATTATCAACATTTGTAATATTACAATATCAGTTTCTCTACGTACAAAAGTCCCATAATATTCTAAGCTTAAACATTAAAATTATTTTACAATATTTCTTCAAACTTCAAGAGTTTTATCGTAAATAAAGTATTCCGTTAATAATAATCCATTGTCATGTTTGTCTTATTTTGTTTAGAGAAAATTACACATACGAAATGATTTTTCTCGACAGAATACAATAAGTCGCTAATTACTTTTATAATTATTATTATTATTATAATTCGGTCAATTACAATAACGTTGAATTTTGCAAGTTCTACTTGTAACATTTTTCTCAGGAATCCAATATTTTGAAAAAATACTTCAACTTAATTTGATTAAATGTGCCACACTTCAAATGCTGTCTTGCGTAAAATAGCTGTTAATGTTGAAACTGCGTAAAATTCTTGAAATTCGTTATTTCCGTGAAAAGTAAGACTAAGTGATATATTACTTAGAAAACAAAATATACGAGACAAATGTTACAAAATGAATACAATTGTTGGAAAATATTTATTAGATTTTGAAGGCATACATATACACATATCAACATTCTATGTATAAACAGCAACATATACGTAATGATACACTTCTCATTTATCCTAGTTTTAGTGCTGCTTCACTATCGTAATCTATGAAATAATTGATTAATCTAGATCTGAGTACTAAGTTTATAAGACATTAATATGGCAATAACACGCGACAACGCGTTTCTTTACCTTTATTAAAAACGATACAAGTGCACAAATCGGTGCCATGCTTTCGTACGAAATCTGATAAACATACTCATATGGCAGTTAATAGCAGTTTGCGGATTAACTCGCCTTGATTTCAACTGCTCGGTTTCTGATAACGAATCGTTATGCCCAGCAACGTCTTTCTCTTTACCGCATTTTTTACACTCTCTACCTCCGCGTTTCTGCTGAGCGCAACCACTGTCATGAATACCCGAGCGAGTTGCTTGAGCAAATCCGCAATCTAATTATTAGTAACATTGTTTAAATTCGGTTTTAGAATATTTCATCATTCTGTCAACGTCGCATGCACATGGTTTATTCTTTAAACCAATACATATATAAATTGAACAACTCAAACGCAATTTTGATGTTGAAAATAACTTATGCAACACAATGGAATATTCATTATTTTATGCGTTTTCTATGCAGAAATTTCTATTATTTCGTCTATATAAAGTATTTTACAAAGAATAACATTATATCGACATACGATTTGTATAATAGAAAATCGCGTTCGGATCTTAGCCAATTTTTTTTGAAATTTTTTAAATGTATTAATGTAACTTTAGTAAATAGTATTATTCATATTTTATTTAAAAATGTAACATTTTTTAATACAAGGCAAAAAAATACCTTCCCAATGTATCACACTTTTGAAATATTAATATTTAAACTCGTATATAATGTATATATGTGGAATATAAACGGTAAAAAAATTCTTTTTAATTTATTTCATAAATTGAACCATATAAATTATATATTTTTATATTAGAAAAGTTGATGTGTATATATATATATAGTATTTTATTTATATTTATTCTTTGTAAAATAATTTTTTAATAAAAGCTAATAATAGACTAGAATGAATAATGACACTCTACATTACTTTTGTCAAATCACTTAAATGGCGTGAAAACAATATATGTTATTAATATGCAATTTAATTAAATGAATGATTCAGATGGCAGAATGAATGAAATAACAGCGAGAAGAATTTCTCACTCACTGCTGCAGTCTAGAAACTTGGCATATTCGCATCTTAAATAGAATTTAAATTATCTTTGCTTCACTTTTCATTTTAAACGTTTGCTTGTATCAATTTAGACACATTTGGTTTGATCTAGCTACTTTCTTTTGCAGTAGTATACATAAAAAATATCTCTTATTCGAGACTTTAAACTCATGAGTACCTGAGCACAAAAATATACACAGAATATTTTCATAGCACGTAGGTCGAAAAAATTTAGTGTCATCTTCCTGTTAAATAAATAAAATCAAGCTTTCTGCATCGTATATACATATTATGTAAAATACCTCGTGTTCGATAAAAATCTACTATCATTTAGCGGGTATTAAAAAGTTGTAAGAAATACTTTCCTTTGTACTATTCCTCGCTTTAAATTGCAGCGATCAAAATTACAATTATCAAAAACTTAGTGGTGTATATATTTATAAGAAATAATACAAACTTCAAAAAATATCTTTTTCTGTCATATAAATTACGCAACAATATCAAATAGTATCCCTATATAGATGCTGTTGCACAGATACTTAGTTGTTGTCAATAATTAAAATGTTAACTATAAATAAAGCTATACAAGCTCATTTATAAAGATTAAACGAGAAGCGTATATACTATAAGCATTTACGCACGCAGGACTGCCTATAACAACATTCCATGTCTAGCATTTATAAGCTCGTTATCTTACAATTTTCCGTCATCGATATATGACATTGCAATGCAGACGATATGTTGCTCATGCTTAAAAAAAATAGGACTGTTGGAACATAGATGTAGAAAGGCTGGTTGTTATAATAGAGGTACTTGGCAAGAAGGAAGAGAGATCACCTGACGAAAAGCGAGTAATTAATCACGAAAATGTCTCCCGTCCCTTCGTAAAAATATAAAAAATAATATTACGGAATATTCCAAGTTATCTGGTCCTCATCGTCCTCTGTACATTATATAATATAAGACAGCTCGCGTGAAGTAACTTATAAACGTAAAGCTGAATTATGAAAATACATATCGTACAAGCGATAAGACTTCTTGTATGTACGGAATAACGTAAACGTGAATGCAAAAGCTAGATATCGTTCGATCACATCGTGCAACATCAAATATTACAACAACACAGAATTGTCAACGGAAAAGGGAAGCTCATTTGCCTATATAGATATATGTACATTATTACGATTATGCAAGAAGACGGGCAATAACTAAAGCTAAAGGAAACTCGAATTGCTTCATGTGAAGAGGCAATCGTTAATATCTTCAAATGCCTTCATGCATGTGTCTGGTAAGTATTCCTATATGTATCTGTATAAATCTATTGTTACTAGGTGTTAAGTAAATCTTTAAAAAGCAGGCAACAGTTAAGGTCAAAAAGGCTCGCTTCAACATTGTACGTTTCACATGCTTACTTGTATAAAAGGGGAAGCAAACCAAGGTTACGAAGAATTAAATCAGGAAGAGGAGGAGAGCAATTCGACCGATGTTACAATCTCACCTAGTTTAAATAGATTTTATACATGCTTGTGGCTCCCGCAGCGTCACGCTCGTTTAATCATAAACGACGCATGACTGGCAAGGAAGGAGCAATGGCATATAGATCGTTTTAACGTATTGACAAAAAACGTCGACTAAATATTATGCAAGTGATAAACATTTTCATTTGTACTCTCTATCTACGGACGTAATTTCTAGGTGGTTCCTCAAGTATTATAAACAGCTAGATAAAACGATCTAAACAAGATTTACTTCTTTTACGGCCAAAAAGGCTGGCCGTAAAAGGAAACAACATGTGTACAACCTTTGTGTGCTATTAATAAATTAAGACAGGTCACAATTCAAGGGGTACATCCCCGTAACTAACCTCCTGTAACAGGTCCTGGGCAGCGATGGCTTTCAATACATTTTTTTTGCTAGTTTCTTGAATCTCCCCACCGACAAGCAACTCGTCTAAGATAAAGTATGCCTTTTCGAAATTGAAAATTATATCCAACTCGCATACCTAATAATACATTATCATTAGCAATAAATTATAAATTGTCGTGTATAGTCGGACAAAGCATAAATAAGTTATTCTAATAATGTAACACTCACACTGCCAAAATACTTATCCAATAATTCAACGTATCGATGTATAATCTCCAGTGTCAGCAGTTCATTGTCGTTCTGCTCGATCGCGCAGCAAAAGTATAAGCTGGCGTATCTGTAAGGATTAAGTCGAAGCTTCAGTTTTACGATCGTAAAGAGAGGCTTTCCAGGATCACCTTGCAAAGGTGCGACGTCACAAACCGAGGCAACTTTGACGAAGCTCCGATTCATGCGGTGCCTGACAAATGAGACCTTCAGGCCCGGCTGCGCCAGCGTCGCGGGATTTTAACTTTAGTTTAGAACTAATTCACTCTTCGTCTCTTTCCGTTTCCCTTGAACCTCGTGTCCTCCAAGAACTGTGTTCAAGTTCTAGTTCCAAGAAATGTGTAGCCAGATAACTTGCAGCCTTTCCGTAAAAACTGCAAGTTGATTGGCTACACGTTTCTCAGAACTAGAACTTGGACGCTGTTCTCGGATCGTGGACACGAGGCTTTAGAAGAAGGCAAAAAGTGAATTAAGCTAAGGCTGAAGTTAAGCAACGTTGGTGCAACCAGATCTAAGGCTTAGGATTTAGAAAAGTAACCAATCGCAGTCGACTATTCTCCTCACATTTGACGGCGATTAGTGAATTTCTTGAAGCTTACGTCTTATCGTTGACACGTAACTAGCAATTAATCTGGCAGAAACAAAATGTCTGTGGCTGATGGCAGAGAACAATCCATAAGCGCTTAAGATTGTCTCAAGTCGTAGACGCGAGGCAGAGAAAAACTCGAGTCGTAGAGACTTTCACTGAAGCTTTTCTCAGCCTGTTTTACGTCTACGACTAAGACTATAGTCTTGAGCGTTTGCGGATCGTTCTCTGCCATCAGTCTAGCTGTACGAGTCATCGTTCCCGTGACGCATGTACCTTTTGTAAACAACCTTAACGTCCTTCCATTCTAGGAAACTCGACATTTTCGGCTTTCGTGCGAGTATCGTGGTGATCAGTTCGCGCGTGATCTTTTTCTTCAGCTTATCCGGATGCGCGACGTACCACTTCTGTAAGCGCAGCTTCCCTTGGCGGCTGAACAGCAACATAAATTGCATCTGTAAAAGAAAAGAAAAGAAGAGGCGACGTTAACGGTCAACGATTGCCGTTTCGCATCGCGTTTCGCGTCGATTTGGAACATAGCGTAAAGCTTCACCATATTGCTGCCGAGCTGTCTCCTCTCTCTTGTCTCGCACAACTATTTTATCTCCCGCAATTAGCACTACGCGTAATCAGATAACGACCGACGACACCAGCACGAAGCAGCCCGCACGGAGCCCGCACGCACGCGTGAACCAACCGAACCGAATTTGGAGGCTCCTGAACTCTCGACTACCATGACTCGCGAGAGTACGCGGCGCTGAGGAGCACGGCGTACGAAACGTAGGTAGGTGACATAAGCGTATGCATAACGAATTTGATTGGTCTACAAGCAAATGGAATCTACCAATCGCGATCGAGGACGCTCGACAGCGGCGGTCGCCATTTCGAGCTCTCGGCTGTGGATTGGTCATTTTTTCTTTGACCGTTAAGCGGGAAGTACACACTTTTGCATAAAGCCTATCACACAATGCCAGGCAACAGGCAACAGGAACAGGGAATAGAATTTCTGACGCGTTGGATTCGTCGAAAATTTTCTTCCAACCAATCCAACGCGTTAGAAATTCTATTCCCTGTTCCTATTGCCTGTTGCCTGGCATTGTGTGATGGGCTTAAATGCATAAGCATATGCATAACGAATTTGATTGGTCTACAAGCAAATGCACAAGGAAATAGACCCCAAGCTTTAAAGCATTTTCCTACCGGATTGCTTGCGATTTAGTAAATTACTAGAAATCTTGAGTGCTGAGTGGTGCGATGATAATAATTTATTAGATTGCAAGCAATCCAGCAGGAAAACCAGTACCGTCTGCAACGGGCTTAAGACTGGGTCTACATTGGATGTCGTAAGTCGTGTCGGAAGAAATTGACCAATCACAGTTCATTATTCTCCTTACGGTTGAAGAATAATGAACTGTGATTGGTCAATTTTTTCCGACACGACTTACTACATCCTATGTAGACCCAGCCTAAGAAATTGGCCAATCACGACTTTAATTAGTCAATTTCTTAAGCCTCCGCTACAATGATTCTCGGTTCTGTCTACAATGGTCGTAGTCGTAAGAATAATCGACTGCGATTGGTCAATTCTTATCGAGCGACTACGACTACGACCATTGTAGACAGAACCGAGAATCATTGTAGCGGAGGCTTTACGGCTCTTCCACGTACGCATTGGTGCGAAATATCGCATCGTGTGTTGTTGGAAACTGCACTTAACGTTCGGAAACTGTGCAGTTGCATGATAACGCGTTTGCGCATGCGTCTTGATTTGAATTTAGTGTTGGGGTTGGCAGAGCGTCCGTTTTTAGCCGCACACTGGCTGCACCGGTTCCGTAGTTCATCTCCTTCCTTCCGCATTGGCGAGAGAAGGATAAACTTTGAACTGGTGCAGCAAGTTCAGCTAAAAAAAAAAAATAAACCAAGAGATTGCGCGGTTTCTCAGGTTTTCTGTCATTGAGGTTTCCAAGTGTACGTACTCTTGTATCGTCCAGATGCTTCGCAGCTGACCGTCTCGTGAGCTTCGTCGGCGAACTTGGCAGGATGGAGAGTACGACGAGGGAAACGTGCGCGAAATTTTTAAAGGCTCTCAAAAGTAAGCCGCAAACGTCCGTGCCTCCATATCCACTTAGCTGCGTTGCACCTCGTCGCTTCCTACACATGCTTTCAATATACGCTTTGATATAAGTTTTAATAACACAAGTATATATAGTTTACGTAATGTACTTTAAGCGTGTACATCTGTTTATATACCGCACAAAGCTGAAAGCGTAATTGATGACTATTACATCTGGATTAACGATTAGTAATCGGAGTCGTTGCTCCTTTTCTCCTTTTAGCAAAAGGCTCGTGGTATATCGAGTTTGACACGTCTATTACAGTTTTACAAGAGGAAGCCGCTGCGAGAGGATTAGAAGACAAACTTCTCAGTCAGCTCGTAGATGTTGTTATACACATAAACTTAGGCAAGTACCTTGTAACAGTATGTATTGACGTCGTAATATTTCATAGATCTGAAAGCAGCCGTACAATCCTTTACATACACATTTTTGTAAATTAATCAAGCTCCACGTTTACATGTTAGGTGCCTCCAAACGGGTGGCGCTGATCAAATGTCTGATTCCAAGGTACAAGTTGTCTGAGGAAATAGCGAAGTCTATAATCACTTGGTGTCTATCCTCGCTGAATAATCTACCGCTCACCGTTTGCGCAATTGTTGTACAATGGATCATAGGTAATTTCTCTTACTCTTGAAGGCTGTACACTTATCATAAAATTGTTTTGCATGTGTCATTTAATAGCGAATTCGGATGCTTGCACTAGTGCGAACCGAGTACACACTAAGGCTTGTTTACAGTAGATTCTTATATTTAAGGATCGTCTTAAATATCCTGAAACATTTCGTAGCCAGTAAAATGATCTGTGTAGCATCCATATGGATAATTTTTTGGCTAAACACTCTTTTAACGTGTGTTTAAGACGAAGTCAAATATAAGAATTGACTGTAAACAAGTCTTAGCGTGGACTCGGTGCCCACTAGTGCAAGCAATCGAATTTGCTACGAGTTACAAATATATGTATACGCATTTATGTATACACGCAACAATGTATTGAAAATATCGTTAATGTTTAGGTGTGTGGGATTATGAGTTAGTAGACAGGAAAGTGATCAACATATATTACGACGTCTTCTTCTATACTATGCTCAAGAAACAGAAACTGGTAGTGTATACCTTCTTTTTTCCATGAACATTTAAACCTTTTGAGACTAAAAGTACAATGCAGATCCCAACAGAATTTGAAAAAGGGTCAAGAAGAGAAATGTTAAAATGTAACTTGATTTCCTTGGCATCACGTTATTAAGAAATGTTAAAATTATTTTGAAAATATTAGAGAAATTCGATTTGGTACTGTAATATATATCTCTACTATTTGTAGAGGTGTTAATGGTTGAAATATGCATTGGCTAAATTAAGTTTAGAATCAATATTCTCTATTATGTAAACTTCAGGAACGTTATCTAGCACGTCTTATCTACATGCTGACAAGACCAGAAGATGTTTCCCGCAGAGACGTCCTGAGATTGTTAGCACGACAGAAAAATTACTCTAAACCTCCAACACATATTACTGCATTACTTTCGTAAGTATATCTGCATATTTACTTTATTAATAAAGAATTAATGAATTAGTAATATTGAACGCGGTTGTAGCTTATTTAAATCGTATAAACCAGAATTGGTACCTGAGAAAATACAGTCGGTGAATATAGAGAGTGTATGGAAACCTATATCCGAGTTCATACGAATAGCATTAGAAGATGCCAGAGATCGTACGGAAATTCAACAATTGCACCAAAGCACTCAGGCTCATTTCGATTGGAATGTAATGCTGGTATGCAAATGTATCCTAACATGTATAGTGGAATGAGTTTATAGTTTATGTACATATTATAACTATTGTCATACGTATACAGAGTACGAAAGCTAAAAGGAGGAAGAAAGCGCTTCTACCGTCTGTAGGTTATTTTCACATTGGTTCAAGTATTTTTAAAGATAAAGATGCAAAGTCCATTTTTGATATAAGCAAGTGAGTATATAATGTATCTGGAATGACATATGTCATTTATATCAGTATTAATGTACAATATCAATGCATATTAACGTTGTATGTATCATAATTTATAAACCAGTATAGAAGAATTGGGAAAGTATCAGCAGAATGTGGAATTGCCTTGTAATGCCGTTTCACTTTTGGCGAATATGGTTGGTTACCATCTTCTTACATATGTAGACTTTCCGTACCAAAGTAGATTTTCGTATAATCTTTATAATACGCTTACAAGAGGTATGTGTCTATATTTGTTTTACCGTTACTACAAAAAAATTTAAGAAAAGACTACAAAGCCAGTGTGTTAATACTTTAGCATTTATGCTGGAAAATGGAAAGTTTTCTGAGGAAGAAATGGATAAATTTTTAACTATGACAGTAGAATTTTCTCGATACATGCAAGAAGGGATACCTATAGTCAAACTGTTTTTTGATGAATATTTATATTACAATACAGGAGAGCATCTGGTAGAGTTACTCGATTTGTTGCAATGGATGACTTCTGTAACAGTAACTGGTAACTATGCAAATATTCTGGCTGATCTTTAAAATGTTGAAATGTTGAAATTAAAATATTATATTTTCAGAGTTGCAAGAAAACATTTTGATACATGTGCAGAATATATTTTATGAATCAAATTTGAATATGAAATGTAAAATAATTCAATCTCTGCAGAAACTAATTACAAACTTGGTAAGGATTCGATATTATTTTCTCAATCTGTGTAACATGTCCATATGCATATTTTTTAATATCAGACGAACAAGCATATGGGAATACTGTGTATGAACACTAATTTTGACAGAAGTATGCAAACCTAGTTTTGCAGAATACGTTAACAGTTCGTTTTCTTTACACATTATTGTTACATTAACATGATAATTTTATTGTAGTTTGTAAGATACGGGCTTGAACAACAGGGCCAATATGCTTCATCCTTTTTGCGACAAGGTCAACTAGAAGATTTACCAGAAATTGTGTCTACTGTTGTAACGACAGTAGAAAATCTTATTGTGTGTGGATTGAACATACATAATTACAATATTACATTGTTGTCAGAAATTTTGACATTTTATGAAGAGGTACATACAAAGATAATGTAGATAATTATAAATGTTTAAGTGGTTAATTTTTAGTTTTATTTATTTGCTTTGTTTCAAAGGTCTGTACATTAGAAAGCCATAATCTATCTCGCCATGTACTATCTTGGACATTACCGCCACCAGCAGTCATCTATGGAGCATTTAGTACGAAGAGTTGTGCTATTTTGTCGAGACTTTGTAGATTACTACTGAGGTATTAATTTTACTGAACATTTCATTGACTTCCAAGTAAGTTTCATTTTACATTGATACTTGGATTACAGATATCGCGAAAGGAGTTCACATTTACATCAGATTATGCCACGAGACATATATAAAATAAAAGTTCACACTATATCTATGTATGCAAATGATATTCATAAAGCACTATGGAATGATGAGGTACGTACAAAGAAGAAGTAATAAATGCAAAATTCATACTCTTATGTTAGGCACAACTAAGCAGCATTTAAAGTTTTTTTTTATATACAGCCTTTTAGTAACAGAAAGGATGGCAAACTTCTGAAAAATCTTTCAAAAAAAGTGATCAATGATTTAGGAGATTGTGATCTAGACACTTTATTGAATATTAGCAATCACTATGCTATATTACTCTTCAGATGCACAATAAATGAAACAGGCTTAAATATAAATACAAAAGAAGTAAGTATATATATTAAAATACTTATTACAATTTTTTAATGACATTTAAACATGTAATTTATTGTAAATTAATATATTAACAATTTTTGAAAAATTATGATATATTCCAATTTATGTAAAAAATTATTTAAAAAAATTAGATTTATTCAAGAATTTGCACACATTACTATTTAGTTTTAAAAATAAATATTTGGATTAAATTTTTTTACGTTCTTAATGTCACAATATCTTTTATAGGAGGCAAAAACCATGGCTTTTCACTATTACCCTGCAGTAAACGAGTTTCTTGCTGCATTTGATGAATGAGATATACTTTAACTTTAAAAAGAAATGTGTCATACTTTTTAGCAAGTTGACTAATAATATAAATGTAAAAATAATTAAAGATTAAGTTGGGTTAGGTTTAAGATATTTCTCAATATTGTATATACATATTTATATGCATTTTTATTTTTACAATTAAAAAAATTTTAAATTGTTTTAAACTACTTGCAAGTAAAGTTAATCTTCAATGTAATTATTTTTGTATTTGTAAGTAAAATAAAAAAAGTTCAAAAAGAATTGAATGATAATAATGATACTTGGAAAGAAAGTAAGCGATGAAAAAGAAGACATTACGATAAAGGACAACTAAACTGCTCTCTACCTATGAAGATACACACTGCTACTTATGGAAATTTATATATAAGAGTCAGTTTATTGCAAAGTATTGACTGAATCTGCTGTCAAAGTGTTAACATATTTTCAACACTTTTGAAATATTTATATTTATTAACATATATTATAAGAGGAATGATGTATATTATTACTTGAATCTGAATCAATCATGAATATACTTGTAAAGGAAAGCTCATAATATTTTGATAGAAATTATTTTAAATATCTTTCTGTATCAAGAGATATTTCATACTAAAATTGAATAGAAACTATATGAAATATCTCCTGATAATTCTCGTAAATAATGTTCGACTAATAAATAATCATATTAAAAAAGCATTTACAAATACTTTATTATTAGTATTATAGTATTTAATAGTGATAACACAATTTTAATTACTATTTATCAAATAACGAGATTTTATCGGAAATGTTGAAAAATAATTTTTTGGTTTTACTTAATAACGCATCAATTATTTAACAAAACTTCAACAAGCAAAGCACGTACGTTTTCAATTATGTATAACTATCTAATTGTAGTCTTTTATTTCCACCATATGATATATTGAGAGATTAAAGTCTGGATTATTGATGACAATAGAGATCATCTTATTCTCTATTGCCGTCTCGTTCAGCATTAACGACCAACTAGTGTATCATATTAAGATATCTATCTAACAATAAGACCTATTATAATATATTAAAAAATACTATATGATTGAATGTAAAAATTATGTAAAAAGTATCGAAATAAGGATTCTATTGTGTAACGTACAAAATATCGAAGCGAGAGAGAAAAGGGGAGTAGATATAAAAGTATAAAGAAAATAAAATATATAATTAAAGAAACGGAGTTCTCTTTATAAATATTACAAAAAAGTTTCTGATTTTTTAAAATTGAGATTCAAGCAATTTCACTTTTCTTTAATTCACAAATATTATATATAAGTAAGGCCACATACGCCGATATGCTACATTTTATTAGAGATTAAAAAGGAAATGTTTAAAACTGATCACGGAAATTAAATATATGATAGAATTTATTTTTGTCATTACATTTTGACAATTGTCTTATTATTCAACTTTTTTATTCACTTAAACTTTAACTCCTATGATTAATAACATAAAGAATAGCATTTATTTTTCCAATATTGTAAACAAAATGTGCTACTTTTCGGTCACATACTCATTAGTGGATCTAGTCTTACATTTTCTGATTGAATACACTAAGGGCAGTGACTTTAGCTTAAATCGTAAAAAATTTGTTCAGTGTAAAAACAATATATACATTATGAAAATTATGAAACTCTGCTTTAACTAATTTTAACAAATGTATAAAGTCATATGGCACGAACAGATTAATCGTTTAATAAAATATCGGCCATACCTTATCATACTCTCTTGTACTTAATGTGTGATAAGCTACTCATATGATATTCACATATTAATTCTTCCTATTAATTTTTCTATTAACAAATTACGCAAGTCTTAAATTTGTCTATATATTTCACGTATCAATCAATTGCTTATCTTTAGCTAATTGCAAACGAAAGATTAAACTTTGTGTATGTGAATAATCGCGAAGTATAGAAAGACACATTTTATATTATACCCTCAGTGTAATATTATGCACAATATCCGATATACACTTTTATAATAAAAACCGAGTTCTAAAAATACAATTAATTAGATTTGCGAAGTCGCGTGTAAAAATATTTCTTTTCATGAAAATATTTTATGAATGGGCAAAATAAATATCGTCATAGGCTACTCAGGTGATACTTTAGATTTGCAGAAAATTAATATTTATGAGAATGTATGTGTATGACATGATTCAAATGCGCTTAATGTCATAAGGATACTATCAATGACAAATAAATATTTGTAATGTGTATGTAGATGACTAATAAAAAAAAAACAGTAACTAACGCTATAACGCATCCTATCGCATTATCCGTGTCTTTGTGTAACAGAAGTTATTTGAGCGAGAACGAGCTGTTGGCAGTACAGAAATCTATTAATTGGTATGCATTTTATAAAAATAGGAATCCAAATCATAAAATAAAATAATTTTTTGATCAATGGGATATACGTTTTATAAAATGATGTGATATTAAAAAACTAAAATATTTTTGGGCATAATCCAATCGATTAAAGTAAACACTGCAGAAATAATTAATCATTACATAAAGTTATGCATTTTATGTTGATCACTTCGTCTTAAATTTTGAATTTATCTATCTTTGGCACAATATGTTAATTAAGCAAAACTAGTTATAATTAAATATATGAAAATAAACGGAAACATAAATGTACAGGCCATAATTCACAATGTGCATAAACATATGCATGTACACACATATGTATACAATGTGCACTTCTTTTTAAACCTGTACTAATCACTTGTCCAAAGAAGCATATATACGAGTTCTTTTGCCTAATGATAAATAAACTTCAAAAAAATTAATGAACCCTATGATTAAAAACGTGTTCTACGCATATTCAAACATATATACGTACATACGTATGTATATATGTTCATGTAGATGTCAGAGATGCATCCATATGCGGAGTTATATATATGCAAGTATATAAATACAAATATAAATATATATTCATATTTACAATTGCAATACACGTAGTGTATTACGTACTACATATATATCTATATTTATATTTATAATACGATATTGCTAACAAAAGTAACTATATAGGATATTATTTTTCGGATGATTATCAGTTCGTTTGATGTTTACTTGATAATTATGCCCCTGTGTATATCCGTACACATAAGTGCATACATCTCTATTTTTATTCCTAACACTCACACATTTGTCCATGCACTATGTGGAAACGAATTTACGCTTCACTTCACTGTTAGCAATAACACTTTTGTACATAGAGAAGTATGTATCTATATTGAAAGAACGAGACAACAGTTTTCACATATAACAGTAGAGCGATAAAATAAAACAGATCAGTCCCAACTGGCATCACTTCCTACTTCGTCAAGTACACCTTCTGCATCAGAGATCATACTTTCATACTTTGAATCTGGTTCTTCTTCTAGGAACTCATCCGATTTTTTTTTGTTCAAGCCTAACTTGCGTTTCTTCGTTGCCAACGCAAGCTCGTCCTCTGCCGATCGCTCCTTGCGGAACTCGTAGACTAGTGGATAAATATGTAATATTGCTTTTTCGACTGCCTCAACGTTAGGTGCTGTAATATAACACACAAATAATATAGTCATACTCTATAATAGTCAATTCGTTCATCAAATAAAAATATAGAAATATGAATTGACTTAAATGCATAAATTGAATATTTAAGTTTAGATGTTTTAATAATAAAAATAATACAAAAGTAAACAAGTCTCTCTAGTAACAAAACATGTAATTAATACCAACCTGTTACAGTAACACTTCCTGTAGAAAATATCTTCAGAGTTGCTTTTGGGTCTGTTAACTTATATGTAACGCCAGGATGTAATTCCGGTTCATAACTATATATCACATAAAATAACTTATATAATTATCATACATACATGTATTTGTATATAGTTATTAACTAATGCATTGATAAAAACTCAAACATTGTTTAAATGCTTTACATTTAGGAAGATGCTTTGAATATCGGTAAGTTAACTGAATAATTCTTTAAATAAATTAAGACAACATATTAAAACATACTCATAGCATGTTATAATTATTAATTGCCCTTTCTTTTATACTTACTCAGCATTTTCTTTGTGATGTATCGAAAATGATGTTATCTTGATGGCAAATGGCATACTACAAGTGCCTAATACATTGACCACTCTATAATTACTGAATCTCACTTTGAATCCAAGTTTATGAAGGCAACGGGCAAATCTGCGTGCTGCAATTTTTGCCTGAGCTTCACTGGTTGCACCAGTGCAAGTTACTTTACCAGATGACCAGATGGATGCTGTAGTATATGGTTTCCTCAATTTCATTGTCACCATCTGAAAATATATGACAAACAGAAATTTACATATGTATTCAATTGTATTTAAGTTGCATATATTTTTTGAATACAGCTTTTTATTCTGGATACATTGTGTCTATAAATAAAATATTTTAAATAAATTAAGAATATATAATAATCATTCTGTTTGCCTTAAATAATAAACAAGTAATATAGCTCGAATAGAACTGGCAATAATTGGAAGAAATTTATTGCGAAAAATATTATCTCAGCCAGGGTTTGAACCTGGACTTTCCCCACGCTAAACTAAGATAATTAATTTTTCGCAATAAATTTCTTCTAATTAACTTAAAATTAACTAAAAATCAAGATACATTATATCATCATGCAATTGGAAAATTTTACTTACAAAATGTAAAATAACGTAGACAATAAATTTTGAATACGCTAGGAATTTCTAATTACAGTCCATAAATAAATATACTTTAAACTTTAAAAAAATTTCTAGTTTCCACGAATTTTCCTATAATATTTTCTATGATAGAAGATAAATAAAGAATGCTTTATATGCTTTGTATATAATAATCAGCATATATCGAGAGTATCTGATTACAACTGCTGTAATCTAATACAACGTGCAACGTGTTGAGCCTAGATAAAAAAGTTTCGAGAAACAATTTAGACTTCTAAGAAGTACAAGTCACCATATCACAATCGTAATAATAAGACGTGACATCATCTTTTTAATTGAAAAGCAATTTTTTAGCAATTTAAATCATATTTTTTCAAAATTCAATTCAATTCATTTTTCTTCTTAGATACTGGCTTGTAATTATATAACAAGAATAATAATTTTTTGAAGTACTGGATATTTTTATTGCTAGAGCAATTATTGCTTGATCAAGCAAAAGATACAGATTCGATTCTCAAAATTACTATTTCACATATAGGACACCAGAATTTTTGAGTGAAACACTGTTTCACTATGATAGAAACAAATTACTTAAAGTATAATTTTAATCCTACAGTAATTGTGATATAAATTGTGGCGAGAGTGGCGCAGAGAAATGTGCGCTGCTTAGTAAACAAATGAACGAGAAAATCTGAGTTCGAATCCACCCACGGATACCGCTGGTTTTTTCGGATGCTACCACTCTCTCGTGGAGAAAAGTGGCAATTACCACGAGTATCCTGCCACACATATTCCTATCCTCCGAAAAGAGGGGGTGGCGAAAGGCTAGCTAACAATCCCTCACCGTAGCAGAGATGGGGTTATTATTGTATTTGTGATACGTTATAACACTGTCTCAGTCCTATAAAACAGAAACTTCCAAACAAGTTTTAAAACAGATCTAGTCGTCCACAGTGGATTAGGCAAGAGGCCTACAACGTATTTGACAAAAATTACAAACGCAATGGAACTAATGGGGGAAGCCAAGGTTCTGTACAGCGCTGGCGCTTTTATCTTGGAAGTTTCGGTTCAGACTCATTCTTTGATAGAAGATGAATAAAACATGCTTTGTATGTAACAATCAGCATAGATCAACTTTGTTGAGAGCGCAAAGTTACAAAAATCACCAGTACATACCCCATTTTCTCTCCTGTATTCAACATTGGATCCACTGAGAGCTATTTGACGCAGGTTCAGGTGACTCCTTACACTAAAGCTGCAAACTACGTTGTTAATGACGATGTCAAGCTCTGGTGACTCCTCAAGGACCTCTTCGTAAAGCTGGTCATGAACAAAGCTCTCTTCACAGGCCTGTTCACGGCTCTCTTCACGAGGCTGCTCGGTGTGACCCACGTAAGATTGGAGTTGGCCATCGAACAACATATTGTCCTTCCCTTCTGCACAGGAGTTTGCATTGTCCAAGGTGTTGACATCCTTTACGTGGTTCAGTGATTTATTGGTCAACGGTTTCATGCCATTCTCTTGAATAGCAGTTGCCATAATATTGTGTTCCTGCAACGTAACATAATGAAGACCTTCAAACTCTTGAGGTACATACCTTCGTTTAAATCCTCTTAAATGTTAATACTTAAAATATTTATATGTTTAAAAAAAGAAGGAAAACTTATCGCTATTATAATAATTTATACACTTGAATAAGAATGACATAAAATGTAACAAAATTCTGTTACTTATAACGTCGTATGATACATAATTTTTATTTTTATTAAAAGACTGATTGAAATATATCTGACGCGGAGAGAATTCTCCTTAACATGCTTTCATATTTCGTAACTTGAGACTCAATCTTGAAGATTAGCATGCAAACTTTAAATTTTCTGTCATTATTATTAAAGTGTACATTTTCCGCCTGTGAAACATTAAATAATAAAGGCAGCCACAAAGAAATTAGGCAACCGATTTATACCTCCAAGATTTAATTTGCGAAATAACATCTGGTTTTATACCACGCAGTTCCTAAAACATTCGATCGCTCCATTGATTCAAGTGGCATAAAAACCGCAGCGTTTCATCTATAGACATTCTGCGGGGATTCTACACAACTACGCAGAGAATATGCATTGCGAGAGAATACTTGCAGGGGAAAAAGTGGCTAGCTGTCTCCCAGCAACTTTTTATAGTAAACGTTGGCACATTTGTCAAATAGATTTCTAGGTTTTAAATGCGAGAGAGAACATTTAAATTCCGCTCGGAGAAGAAAATAGCACAGCAACAAGATCTTTCATTTAACGATATAGCTGGCAACGACGACAATATACCAACGATAACGAATTGATCTATGAAAGAAAAAAAAACTTCTGCCAAAGCGAAAACCGTAGCAAATTACGTCCTGGGCTAAAACCGACAGTTCGACGTCAATCGTCAGAGAAATAACGTTAATTTACGATCCCCTCGCGCGGATAAACTCTACTGGCGAGTAACGGAACGCGGCGTGAAGACGGTCCGGTTCGAATTGGCGGTATTGTCGCACGCCGCTCGGCGTAGCAGCGATTTACCTTCGGGCTGGTCAACGAGGCGGGCGCGCGCGATCGCGCGTCCAAGTGACCCTCGTTGACGCAAAGAGCGCGCGAGGGAGAAGACCCCGAGCGGATGCCGAGGGACGTTACGGTGCTTCGCGCTGTGTCGGCACGTGGGGGGGGGGAGGGGAGGGGGCGGAGGGGGACGGCAGTTCGCACGCGTCTCGAGACGAGGACACGAGGTTACGAGGGGGAAGCAGCGAGAATCGACGGCCGGGGGACGTGGAGGCATCACCGGAGGCCCGGTGCCTCGCGGCACCCTCTCCGGGAACCTACCGCGGGTGAGACAGCAGCGGAGACACTCGCCAGAGACGCGCGGCGAGGAGACGGCGGAGTCCTGGGAGGAAGATTAACTTACAGGTTACGCTACGCCGGGCGGCCGTAAATACGTCGCGTGCAGATCAAGGGTAACGTCTTTGTTGACAAGTACCAGCGGAACGCGGAGTCAGTTCAATAACAACCATTGCCATTGTTCTCAACCATATTCGCTAGACTGGCGACTACTGGCGACTACTGGCGACGCAAGCGGCCAACTGACGACCGCGGGAGTCGCGATACA